AACCAACTGATGTTTATATTCACAGATCTTTTATGACCTTGTGCGACAAATTAACAGAAAAACTCCAGTGCCTGGAAAAGCACGCAAAAAGTCGTCATGTCAGCTACTTTAATACATAGCTGTACTGTAGCTCTGAGCCAGGTAAACCTTCTTAAAATTTTCAGTTTTGTGTTTTGACTTTAAAAAAAATAAATGAAGCAAGCAAACAAATACACTTGTAGCTTCTATCGTGCAGAACTGCATTAAAAAATTCCTGATATCTTGAAGCTTTTATGATGTTAACTACAGAATTTGTGCAAGATGTACTACTCATACTGATACAAAAAAGTTTTTTCAAGCTTTAAGTGTTGGTGAAACTCCCATTAATGACACTTGTCCTAATACTTCCAACACTTAGCTTTTGGAAACAGAACTTTTGTTTTTTAGAGGCTGATAGAATATACTGCAAGAGCTCAGTTATCAGGAATGCACACTAAAATATGGGTGTTTTAGTATACAAGCTACTGACTTTGAACTCATCCTCATATTTGCATGGTGTTCCAGGAAAATTCCTTGTTTTCTTTGGACTACGTGGATGTATTATAGACTGTGATATGGTTAGTGGTTACGCTGGGAAAAGGGTGGTGAAGGGATCATTGTAACACTCCAAATATTTGACCTGGAGCTACTGTTATTAAATTAATCTCCCATTCTTTGACAATTTGCTGATGTTCTGCCTAACTAAAACTGTGCTTTAAGAATGCTGTTGAAGGCTCATGCAAGTTTCAGCCTGCCTCTTCAGTAAGCTTTTTCAGTAGTTGTGAATTTTTTTTTTCCCCTACAACTTAATCTTTGTTTCCTCCTCTTCCTCTCCAAGCCCTAGTATGGGCAGAGGTCTTTCTTGACTGACAAACCAAGAGGATTCCAGAGGCATTAGCTGAGAGTAACAGATATTATTGCTGCCTTTCCTTAACAGCACTTTCAGACTAAGAGCTTTGATTCTCCTAATGTGTGAGTGCGTTTTCAAAGCCACTGGAATTGTCCTAGTGTAAGCAAACTAGTACTGCCCATCAAATATTGCTTCCATAGTTCAGCTTGTTTACCATGTGTATCCCAACACAGTTTTACTTATTGAGATGATCTGTTATTGTGCGTATACAGTAGAGATTATATTAGTAGAGGAAAAGCAATCAGGTTATTTTCTGAGCATATTCACTAACAACTTTTGCTAGTTCCTGCTTCTGTTTTCTTAACTAGAGAGTAATACGTATTTGTCATAGCTAACTTCTCATTTTGCTGTTACAGGTCTGAAGAACTGTTGCCCAATTCAACAGTGCCAGCATTCCAACTTTATTAAACCTACCAACATCTTAAATGGACTTTCCTGTGGTGGTACCCTTTAAGAAATGGATGAAAGCTACTACATCAGTTTGCACATTCTAATCACTTTCCAGTGTCACGAGAGATTTTTACTTATAAATATTCTAAGTGTATGCAACTGGTAAAACCAGAGCCTACATCCAGTATTACTGATAAGAGACATTGTTCATCCACCAATGTTGTACATGTATGAAAACTGTGTACTGTATACTTCAACAATCCCCACTTTCTATTGGAGAGTACAATAATGTAAATCCTAAAAGCACCACTATTTTAGCATAATAAAAGAAAGTCCAAAGAGCTCCTATATAGACTACTCCAGATAACTTTGCTTCATCGGTATTTGTAGCTTATTGTAACTTTTTTAAAGAAATACAGGATCATCATCATCGTATTGTACAAAAGCGCTTTGATTAACACAACAGCTATATAGTTTTTTAATTTTAGGAAAAACCTGTGGAGACAGTGATCTAGTCTTTAAGAGTCCTTTCAGTATAACGTCTGACTAAAGACATGGCCTTTAATATCTGTTGGGAAGGAAATGTCCAGACTTTTCAACCTTTTATTGTATGTTTCCTTTTCCTTGTTTACATAGGGAACAATGTTTATAGTTGTGTGTACAGTGGGGGTCTACAACAAGAAGTGTATATTTTAAAACGATTTTTTAATGATTTAACAATTTTTTGTAAATCATTTTCGGGCTTCTGCAGCTGTAGATTCTCACTGTGAATTCCCTTGCTTGCTCATGCATAAGTGTATTTGCAATACCAAATATACAGGTTTAGTACTTTTGCCTGTTAGTGATTGTTTTACATGTGTAACGTTTTGGTTGAGATGTTAAATGGTGGAAGAGTACTGTGGATGTGAATGTGGGAAGTAATTTTAATCATGTGTAATTGGTCACAGGGCCTAAGTTGCAGTAATTAACTTTTTGCTGATTTATTTAACAATGCCTTGTTGCTTTGTATGCATTAACGTTTGGGTGTAAAGATTGTGTGTATATCCAACAGGGAGCCACAGTATTTAAATTGACCAACCTAATGTTACAACTGCTTTGAGGTGGCCAAATGTAAACTAAAAGCCTTAATTAAAGTGGTGCAATTTTGTATGACTTAGCATCAGTAGTTCAATAAATTTGGATTGCCATGCAAGGGCTTGCATTACAGTTATATACTACTTGAATGTTTTGTGTTTTGGTAGAGCTAGTAAATATCAATTCTAGACCTCTTGCACAGTGCAGACTCGTACATCATATGAAAAGGAACACTTATCGCTTTGTCTTTTGGCGAATACATGCCACAGATACTTCTTGTAATAGCATCACGTATACTAGGGCGGAAGAATTTCTGAGTGAAACTTCATTTACTGCTTTGGAAGTGGAATATTTGAAATTCTAATGTAAGACTAGCTCCCTTACAGAAAAGTGTGTTTTCAAGAGTAGACCAGCAGTGACTTTTTTGGGAAACTAAGGATATGTTGCTTGTTCTTTTCCTTCTTTCCAGGAAGAATTCACTGTTAGAATTAAAGGAAAAAATACATATCTTGGGAGAAAATATGATTTTTCTGGATGATTAAACCATATTTGTTGGTTTCAGGAAAATCTGCAGAAGAGCATTCTTAAAGTATTAAGTGTAGTTTTGCAGACTTCACAGTCCAACAGTATTAACAGATGTAAAGTGGAATGCATGGACTATGGATGATCTCCTGATCTTGGCTGTGCTTTTGAAAACTGTCACGCCCAAATACTTGGTACCTCTTTCTTTTTTCCTCTGGCACGGAGTTATCAGAGCTTGTTCTAATTCCTTTCTGCGAAATCAAATCAGTTCAGTTTATCTCAAAATGTTCCAGCCTTAGCTACTTCACTACCCAAAGTGAATTAAAGGGGCCATATGATCCATCCTGCTGGTATTTTTGTCAGTCACTGCCATTTTTTAATGGAGGTAGTATAGTCTTTCACTGTGCAGAGTTGGAATTAAGACTGAAACTTCTTCCCCTTTATCAGAATATGTGGCTGATTCCCATAAATGTATTTTGGTAAGCTCTGCCTTCTGATTGGTCCCTAGGGCAAGTTAAGTTTGAGCAGTGGATGCTTTAGTGGTGGTTGTTGTTGTTTTTCTTTTAAGCTTGATACTGATGAGCTTGTCAGGGAGGAAGGTATTTTTCCTCCTTTCGCTTCTTTCACTTTCAAGATCTGCTTATTCAGTTCTTATAATGCTTTTATGTCCCAGTTGTCATTATCTCTGTTTTTTAATGTGTTTCCCTTCTGGGCAGCTGTACAGGTGGCAGTAGGTGGGAAGGAAAGAAAATTCTTTGATAACATCAGAGGAGGCCTTTACTTGGTCCCAGTGTCCAACCAAAAAGTACTGATTATAAGGAATGTCAGGCTTTGTACTGAAAGCTCTGTTCTTGGTTGCTGTGTGGAGTAGTAAACATACAATGCCTCAGCATTAGGAGTAGTCTGTTTTGATCAAGCCACAGGGAAGTTAAAAATTTATAGAAACTCTACACTTTTCCATTCAAAGACTCTGCTGAAGAAGTGAAATACACTTTCACCAACACTTAGAACTCAGGCTAGACTTGAAAAATCAATGAATGTTAACCCAAGTGGCAACTAAAAACCATTATTGTTCTCCTTGAAAGCCTTAAAGGAAATGGTGTCCCACTTGTTAAATGGAAGATGCACGGCAAAGCGATGCAAGGCGATGGACGTGAAGCATAGGGGAAAAAGTATGAAATTATTTTCTTCCTTTCTAAGTAATTACAGTATAAGAAGCTGTTCTTGCTGGGGAAGTGAACATCCAGTTCCTCCCAGGAATTGGAACTGTGTAAACATTTAATTCTAGAAAAGAATCCTGTCTGCTGAAGTTTTTTTGAGAACTTTTACTTCAGAATAACTGTTTTCTGTACCACACTTAAAAAGTTCACACTTGAACTACTTGTGTAGAAACAGAACACTTCTCTTTAAAGCTTTGGATAAAAGCCTGCATAATTCATTTCAGAAAACTAATGCAGTAATTTTCCAAATTCAGTATTAATACATGTGTATTACTGCCTGTAAAGTTAGCTTATGCTTACAGTGCGCACAAAGGTTGACTGCTTTATTTCCTTCCTATCTGGAATTGGTGTATGTCAGTATTTAAATGTCTGAGCTTTCTATGGGAAAAAGTAATGTTTATGTCCTGAAATACTTAATGAAATTGCACTCTTCCTATTAGGACTTTTCAGTCTACATTTATTTCTTCTAACTTGTTGCTTATGCCCTTCTTCATTCTCAAATTATTCTGTGAAATGAATGTCTACTTGCCTAAGTTACAGGAATATTTTGAGACTGTAAGATGTTTTCAGAAGCCCAAATGAACGCACTGTAAACTCAAACTACTACTGCTCTTCTGCATAAGGAAAACATAACTTCTGGAAAAGTGTTGTAGAGATAGATGTTAAGTTTGTTTCATAATGTGTACTGATACTGCAATGCTAGAAAGAGGAGGTGGGAACAGAATATTGTTGGAATTTTGATTAAAGCTGTGTTTTTCGCCTGTACTGTTGTAATTAGAGTTGCTGTTTCCTCACGGGTAAACACTAAAGATGAGGATTTTCTTCTTTCATAAAACTAAAATTATGGGTGGATCAAACTTGATGAATTTTTCCTGAAGTCTCCTGGATAGCTTGAAGGGGAGAAATCTTCCTACAATAACAAACTAGTTCTAGATAGGCCTTGTCTTAGACTTAGAAACAACGGAAACTTACTTCTAGTCTTGAATTGTGAAAGAGTAGTCTGTATACAGCTGTCTAAAGTTCCTATTTCTTAAATTGTAATATGCAGATGCAGGCAAACATCAGCATAGACAGAAAGCTTTGTATACAATATTGAATTGCCATCCCAGCAGCATTAAGTTATACTTCAGTTTATAGCTGATTTATCTTGCCTGTGTATGCAGAGAAGAATGAAGGCAAATAAAAGGTTACTCAAACACATAACAAAATGTAGTTGTATGTAGTTCCCTAAGGTAGCTTTAGAAAAGCTTATTTCTGAGTATCAAGCACTTTAGTCTCTCCTTTGAAAAGCTTATGAACAATTTGAAGATTCTTTAAGCTTAAGTGCTCTGTTCTTTAAAGTAAAACTCTGGAATAATGCTTATTTGTTAAACTTTCTGTTCTCCTCAGTCTGGAAGCATAAGCAAAGATGTTCTGCAGTATAGTGTTTTCAGTGTTGCAATATCTGGACTTGAAAAATCAGAAGTGTGGGTGCTCTGTCTTTCCTTAAATACCCTCCAAAACCATTTATTTTTTTGTGATGTTGAGTCATCAGGCAGAGGGTGGGTTCCTGTTTTCAATGAGATGTTCTTTAGGGAGAGATTTGTGAATGGAGAAAGGAATGTCTTCATAATTCTGCTGTGTCCACTTTGGCCTCAAAAAATGCTAGTTCTGCATAACGCACTCCACAGTTTCATTGTTTTAAGAAAGTTCACTGCCACCAGAATTTATTTTCTTTGAGACTGTGGTGTGAGGTGAATTCTTTCATTTGAAGAACAGCATAGTTTGTAATTAATTTGTGCAATTGTTTTGGCTACTGTAACATGGAAGGGTAGAGCAGGAAGGGTGTGCTCCTGGAATCTTGGATACAGAGCAAAAGCGAAGTGGAATTTACAGTTCCTTCTTTGGTCAGTAATTGTTACATTTTCATATTACGTGGCATCTTTATATTCTAAATCTAGCAGGGAAGATACACTAATCACTCACAGTACAAAAATCTACATGTTAAATTCAGTTCCCATTAACTGGGCTCACTGCTCATGATGAGGCCAACGCAACAAAGATTTTTGGCACTACCGTCGTGTTTTTCAGACACACGGTGACAGTTACAAAATCATCTTAATCTTTTCCTATTTAAAATTAATAATCATTTTAGTTAGTTTGCTTATTTTAATCTAGTACATCCTCTAAGCCCCATGAACCTTCTGTACAGCTAGTGGGGAGCACGTTCCCTAGGGATTGGGTTGGTGGCAGTTGGTGCTAGCTGACGGCGTCTCGTCGCTCACCCAAGCTGTCAGTGTGGAGCTCTGCTGTCCTCTCGTAAACTGTGAAGATTGTGACAGCGTGGCTGCGGTCAGGATCGGTGCTGTTGATGCAACCATGTGATACTTAATGGCAGTTCAGAAATCCATTTCACAATTTAAATTTGAACTCCTTTATATCGTGCTGGAAATGCATGCTCTGCTTCTTGAAAGCCTTCTTAGTTTCTCTTCAGCTGTATTTCTTCTGCTCGGTTTTCATGCCCGGACTTTGAACGGAGGCAGCACTGAGGGGAGCGTTTTCTCTTTTCCTCATCTCTATTCGCTTCCAGCTTTCTGCCCTGGACAAGGACCAGTCCTGGAGTTTGAGCGAGTGCCAGAGAACCGACCCACATACTAATTTGTGCGTTCCTTGTACTTCCCACCGACGTTACTCCGTTTTTTTTGAGGAAGCGTTAAGAACTAAAACACGTTAAATGCGTAACGTTGCAGTTCTGTGCTACACCTACGACTTTCCCCCCGCCACGGAGGTTGTCGCCTCACACTTTCACAACAGGTTACGTGATACCGGGACAACTTCAGCCCTAAGGGCGTTTCTCTTTAAGTCACCTCACCCACCCGGGACTGCAGCGCCCGCGGACGAGCAGAGCACGCCCCGCCTCACAGCCGCACGCCCCGCCCTGCCGCCCTCAGCCGGGCTCAGCGCGCAGGCGCAGCGCGGCCCCAGCGCTCACGGCCGGAAGCGCGGCCTCTGCTTCCGTGCCGAGGGCCGGCGCCGGCGGAGGCGGGAACGCTCGAGTGGGGTCGGGCCGCCATGGACAGGTGAGTAGCGGCAGGGGGCCGCGGGTTCACTGCTGTCCTCCGCCGTCAGCGGTGCCGGGCGGCCCTGTCGGGCAGCCGTGGCGCTCCGTGAGGCTGAGGCCTTCCTGCGGCATCCAGAGGAGCCGTGCCAACCTCGTGAAGTGCAGTGGAATAGTATTACATGTTGTGTTTATGTAAGACTTAGATTAAGCTTTATACTGTTGCGTTGTTTGTTTGTTTTTTCCCTCTTGCACGTTTTTCTTGAAGGGAGTGTATAGACAGGAGGGGGAACGGCTGTTTACGAGGGTGATAGCGATAGGACAAGGGGGAATGGTTTTAAACTGAGACAGGGGAGGTTTAAGTTAGATATTAGGAGGAAATTTTTCACTCAGAGGGTGGTGACGCACTGGAACAGGTTGCCCAAGGAGGTTGTGGATGCCCCATCCCTGGAGGCATTCAAAGCCAGGCTGGATGTGGCTCTGGGCAGCCTGGTCTGGTGGTTGGTGACCCTGCACATAGCAGGGGGTTGGAACTCGATGATCACCGCAGTCCTTTTCAACCCAGGCCATTCTATGATTCTGTGAGTCGCAGGGGTTGGAAGTGACCTCAAGAGATCTTCGAGCTAAAACAGGGTCCCTACAGCAGATCACACAGATGGGCATCCAGCCAGGCTCGAATATCTCCGTAGAAGGAGACTCCACAGTATTTCTGGGCAATCTGTTCCAGTCATCTGTCACTCATATCATAAAGAAGTTCTTCTGCATGTTGTGTGGAACTTCCTGTGTTCAAGTTTTAGATCGCTGCTCCTTGTCCTATCTGCACCACTGAGAAGAACTTGGCCTCATCCATTTGCCTCCCACTTCCACTTCCCTTTAGGCATTTATAAACATTAATGAGATCTCCCCCTCAGTCATCTTTTCCTCAGGATGAGCAGAAGGAAAAAAACATAAAATCATAGAATGGGCTGGGTTGAAAAGGACCACAATGATCATCGAATTTCAACCCCCCTGCTATGTGCAGGGTCACCAACCACCAAATCAGGCTGCCCAGAGCCACATCCTATCACTATCCACCTTCGTAAACAGCCGTTCCCCCTCCTGTTTATGCGCTCCCTTCAAGTACTGGAAGACCACAGTGACGTCTCTCTGGGGCCTTCTCTTATCCAAGCTAAACAAGCCCAGTTCCCTCAATCTTTCCTCATAGGAGAGGTGCTCCAGCCCTCTGATCACCTTAGTTTCCCTCCTCTGGCCCCGCTCCAAGAGCTCCACATCTTTCTTGTACTGGAGGCCCCAGGCCTGGATGCAGTGCTCCAGATGGGGCCTCACAAGAGCCGAGTAGAGGGGGACAATTACCTTCCTCTCCCTGCTGGCCACCCCTTTTTTAATGCAGCCCAGAACATAGTTGGTCTTATTTGGGCTGCAAGCGCACATTACTGGCTCGTGTCTGGATTCTATGATTCTTCTGGTTTTCTTGTTCTCCAGCACAATAAGCACTGCATAACATTCTTGCGTTGGTTGGTTGGATTTGTTTGTGATTCTTGCTAATGGATAGGATGGACATTTGGACCTATGATTCAGATATCACTACTTGGGAATGTTATTTTCTTTTTAACTGGGATTTTGAATCACTGCTGTGAAGTTACTAGCATTTGAAAGAGAAGATTAGCTAAAGAGAGTAACATTATAATGTATGTTTTGCTTGGATGTGTTTTGCTTACTTTGTGTCTGTGTTTCTGTTTTCTAGAAACAGTTTTGGAGATGTACTGTCACCCCTCAGTATAGAGACAGCCAAGCCTGGCCGAAAACCAAGCTCTCAGAAAAGAGTTTCCAGTATCCTTTTTCTGCAGAGGCTTTTTATTTTCTGTTCAGTTGTTGCGTGCTGTGTTCGTGATGTCCTTATATTCCTGCTTTTTTCAGCAGCACAGTGCATTACTTGGCCTTTGCAGGAGAGTTTAGGAATAAACCAAGAGATGCAGTGACTTGCTCTGTCACAGAGTAGTATTTCTTCTGAATGGAAATTCTCTATCCTCTCCTTTTTCCCTCTGTTGTTTTCATAAATCGCAAACCATGTCAAAGCTGCCATGGCTATATCTTGGAATGGATTGTTCACCAGACTTCAATAGGAGTAAGAGATTGTCAGAATGCCTGTATAGTCAATTCTTGACTATATCTAGATAGATTTTTCTCAGTTGTGGACCATTCTGATGGCAGGGATGTTGTTGTGCTCGCTCTTTCTATAGTATGGTGTTTTACAGTTTTTCATGGGCTTATGAAGTCAGGTTGATGACAGCCTAGAGAACTACGTGAGCCATAGCCAACTCCATCCCTGAATTTTCATCTCTCAGTTAAAATATTTTTGCTTTTATGATCTTTTGTGTACATTTTATGTCATCAAGGTGTATTTATTCAGGGCACCATAGCTTTCTAGGCACCATGACAGCAAGAGAATTACAATACAATTAGATTTCCACAGAATTTTCCTTTCCCCAGTTATATACAATAAAAAGAAACATTTAATAAATTGGCACCTAATATAATGCTCTTTTTTCTGATTATGATAGCAAAGGAATCCAGTACGTAAGTTCATAAGCTCATCCTTCCATTTTAGTTTGGTGGCCTTTTTTGTTGTTGTTGTTTTTGGGGTTACGCTTTTTCTTGCAACCACAATATTGGCCCTATTGTTCAAACAAGCCTGGAGGCTGATATAAAATGGGGCACTGAAACTTTTATGCCAGCACTTCTTTAGTAAGCCATATTTAGAGCATTGAACTCTGTTGCCTTCTAGTTAAAGTCATCGGTGTCATGGAATGGAAAGAAAATTCCTTTCTTAATATGAATGAGTCTTGGATTTAATTGTTATGGTTTATGCAGGATGTAGCAGCACTTCATGGAACAAAGTATTCTTTTTGATCCAAGCAACTGTGAGAACTAGGACATCCCATACCTGTCATGCTGATGTTTCTGAGCTGTGTTTTGGAGTGTCCCTTCTAGCCTTCCAGCTTTTAACCTTTTTCTGAAACGTTTTATGATATAATTCAGGATAAGTGAATGGGACTTTGTACTTTAGTCTGAAATGTGTCATTCTTATTAGAGTCCCACTTAAATTATCTTCCTTTCCAAGCTGTCACAGCCATTTTGGGTAGAGCTAAAGAGTGTTTCTTAACTTGTTAATCAATCAGTTCTTTCATCTCTGGATGACAGTATTGGAAATATGACACCCAGAGGCCAGATGATTCCCCGAACTTCCAGTACGTTGTTTCGCCAGCCATGTGAGTCTTATTTTGTTTTTTATTACACAGTTAAAAGGAGTAATATGCTTCAGCTCTGGGGCCTCCAGCACAAGGAGGATGTGGATCTGTTGGTGCAGGTCCACAGGAGGCCACAGTTCTAAACTAAAAGAGGGAGGTTTGGAATTGACATTAAAAGAAGTTCTTTACTCAGTGGGTGGTGAGGTAGTGGGACCACCCCTGCAAATGGATACCCCATTCCTGGAGACGTTCAGGGCCAGGTTAGATGGGGCTCTCCCTGGGCAGCCTGATCTTGTGGGTGGCAGCCCTGCCTGTAGCAGGGGCTTGGAGAACTGGGTGGTCTTTATGGTCTGTTCCAACCAAACCCATCTGTGATTTCCAATGGAACTGAAATGACAATAGGTGCGCTTTGTCTTCAGGTTTATGTGTACTCTGCTTGGAAGATTACTGCTTGAGAATGCTCCAGACTTAGTCATACATATATAGCCTTAGCATAACTATGTGTAGACTATTAAATTCCATAATTCATGATTAACCTCATTACTTCAAAATACTTAGGCCTAAAACTCATATTTCTTTTCTAATTGGGTTTCTTTTCTAATCTGGGTTTCAAGCCTTGTGATGGAAAGAAAATACTTATGGACAGAAGCAAGTTATTTCTTCATCTGGTCGATCTGGCTGGTGCATGACTGAGTAGGATTTCTTAAACACTTCAGTCTCCATTACAAGATTGCTGTCAAGAGTTCCATGACAGAGCATCATGGTCTTAAACACTATTTGCAAAGAAAGCTTTTTGTCTTCCAGTTACTGCACTATCTCGAAGCTCTCTGAAGCAGACAGACACATCTACCATACTGGGAGCAGCAGGGAAATCTCCTCTGATTCTGCAGAATTCTGGTCTGCTTGGCAATCAGTCAATGGTAAGGCAGTTAGAGCACATTTTTCCCTTTAGCTCCTGTGAAAGTTCAAGGAAGCTACAAGTTTACTGTGTCTCTGTATAGTTTGCACTAGGGACAAACTGCAGGTGGAACAAGCTTACTGTTATTACTGCTTCTATTGAAATTTGATACTAGTATTATTTATTACTGTGATGTTCTTTGAGGTGATGTAGTGAGGAATGAAGAGTTTTTAAGCCTTCTTAAATACCCCATATATGTTAAACTAGTCCTTAAAACATCAGCTTCTGACTGCAGAAATCTTGACTTCGCTTGTTTACAGATTGTTCAAAGATGATTATTTTGTCAGCAAATTGAACCTGAAGAATTTTCTTATTTTAGCACTCTAATGGAGTAAGTTTCATTTGCATGTTAATGTTTGAACTTCAAAGAGCAAGCTTTTCTGATTACTTTTTAGATGACATTAGTTATCTTCTATGGTAACATCTTTGATAAAACAAATGCTTATAAAAGTCATCGTAGGTACATCTGAACTATTTTATCTGTTTATTTTTAAATTGATTCAAAACAACACGTTTTTCTGAATATGAATTTTAATGCATTCTTCCTTTTGGTTGTTTCTTTAGTTTGTGGCAGCCCATTGGTTTTTTTGAGATGTATGGCTCTGGATCCTATTGACTCTTGATCAGCACTGATAAAGTTCTTAGTAGTAGCACTCTGCCTGTGATTCAGAGCCTCTTGATATTCTGTAAATAGCATTTTGTGAGTATTTAGTGCTCTGACCTGAATCCAGTATAGTTTAGCAGGAGGAAGTTCAGGACTAGAAAAGAACTTTCACAGGAGGTTGATGGGAAAAGGACATCTTGTGGCAATGCACTTGCTGGTAGATTACAGCACTCATCAGACTCTTTTGTATTTCCCACAGGGAGCTGATATAATTTTTCTGGAATTGAGTTACATTTGCTCAGTGGTCTGAACATTTTGGAGTGCTGCAGCATTTTGTTCTGGCTGGGTAGAGGGCAAAAATGGCAGAGAGAAATCAGGCAGGTGAAACAATGTGGATAGAATCTGGAGCATAAAGAAATGAACAACACATATATGTTCACAGTTTTTGGATATGCTTAAGAGACTTATGGCAATGTCATCTGGTTCTCTGTTTTTTTTGGTTTGGACTGGGAGCATTTTGACAGCCAGGAAAAATAATCAACCATTGTCATATCCCTGGGTCCTGGTGTGTGGAGAAATCCATTGCTGTCATGAAAACAGATGTAGGGAGCTATCCTGTTTGTGCAGTGCATGTATAGTCTATCTTCTCTTTTGGCCATTTTGCTTCCTTCTGTCAGGTAAGCTTCCCCTAAAATACACCCAAGAAAGTATGGCTTTGCCTCGTTCTCCACTTTAATATTCTTGGTGTTTTCTCTTTAAAAATGTATTGCTTGATCCAATCAATGTTTTGAGCAATTCACTAAGAAGATTGAAAGACTGAAATAAATGGTTCTGATAAAAATTTTATCTATTTTGTTCAATTCTTCACAGCTGTTTTACAACTTAGTCAACAAAATACTAAGTTAATGAAATGTTTAACACAACAGACTGTGAAGGGATGGAGTTATGTATGTTTAAGGTGAATAATGGTACAGAGGAATTTAAAATGCAGGGTCTGATTAGATTAGCACACACACTTGTTATTTCCTGAAATAAAAGAGAATGTTATTTTTCCAGATTAAAATTTTAATCTTTTGAGAACAGTTTGTTAAAATTATAGTTGTGCCTTATTTAAAGACAATTATTTCATTACTAATTTTTTGAGTTGCTCTGTTTGTACCACTCACATAGAATGAAAAAACCTTGGAGCTAGCCTTGTAGTAGTCTGAGTTTGCTGTTTATTTTCTTCGTATTGTTTTGCTTTTAGTTGGATGAAAGTAACTGGACAGCAATGCTCTCACCTCAGCAAACAGGAATGTTTACAAATCTAGACATGACAGAAGATGTCACCATGAGTGCTGTACTGTTACGTGAGGATGATCCTGGGGAAGCTGGTGAGATGATCTGAGGTTTTCATCACAATTGAACACATACATGATCTTGTTTTCCTGTACCTTCTCACTTAGATATTTCTATGCCAGAAACAGTCTAGTTTAAAGAACTCAGAAGTTAGCTTTTCCAGTTATTGGAGCTTTGCCAGTTTGTTTTCTGTGGAACCTGATGACACGAATGGCATGCTGTGGTGATGTAATACACAAATTGAATTAGCTTTGTGGAGACATAGAAGCAAGTTTGTCTTTAAAACTCAGATGACAGATTTACAGCAAATGTTTAATAATTATTTTACTTATCTCATAGCTTCTATGTATCTTTCTATATTAGCTGATAAATTCTTCTGACTTTATGAGGTACAAATGGTTCATATCATCATTGCTAACATTTATTAACGATGAGATACTTTGGCATCAGAAGGATTGTTTTTTTTTAATGTTGGGATTTTTAACCACATCATATCTTATATGGCTTTCTTATTCTGTGTATTCTAGCTACTATGAGCATGTACTCAGATTTTCTGCATTCCTTCCTGAAACATACATCAACTACCATTTTCGATCTTGTGGATGAGTATGAAAGTATATGTAATAGTCAGGTAAATAATTTTCTTGGATGGGTCTCTCTCTTATTATTTGTTTGAATTTCTCATCCCTTCTGGAAGTTATGCTGCCATTTTTCTGATCCTGAGAAAGTCACAGTGCTTAACTTAGACACTTGAAATCTTCCAGCTGGTTGCAGTCTTATAAGTCACGAACACTGGCATTGAATAGCATCCCTCTTTGCTCATCCACTGCTTTGGCACAGGAATGCCTGTTGTGCAGCTTAGTAAATACTAGAAATGTCATCTGACTGCCATTCCACTGCAAGTGGCAAGCATGAGGTGGTGTATAGATTTTTTTTTTGTCAGTGATAGTGAGCTGGATTAAAAAATACTCATTTCTCAGAGCAATAAATAAATAAAATCATTTTACTGTGGTAACCTAAGAGCTTTCTACTGCATTCCTAACAAACTGGCAGTAGAGTTCTCAATGTCACATTTAAGAAGTCTGTTTTTTAAAATAATGAACCATAGACTGATGGTTCGTTATCAGCAGGGATTGTAAAAATAAAACTGACGAGCAGTATTGACTGTGTATGTGCTTATTTATTTCAGGTGAACATACTGGGGAAGATAGTTTACAGAGCAACTCCTGGACAGCAGAAGTTCTCAAAAACTGCCAGTGTCTTGTGGCTTCTCAAGCAGGAGATGGTAACGTGGAGACTGTTGTCCTCACTGTATAGGTAATTTCTTTGAAAAGCCCATTACCTTTTTACACTGATCTAACTTTCTTAGACATCTTGCATACGAGAGAATAAGTACAGAGTAAAGGAATTAAGTGCCTTTTTTTTTATTTGTTTATGGAACTAAGTGCTGATCATGATGCCTATTTACTAGCTACTTATGGGAGCTGAAAGTTGTTAACAGTCCTGTTGCTATTTTCTTAACTTGTTGTATTTTTATAAAACACTTGAAAGGATTTTTAAGTGCTTTTGCTTTTATTATGCATTCTCCTGAATTGTTTCAGCTTTATTTTTGTAGTTAAGGTTTTTCATTTTTATTTCTAGGGACAGAATACAGTCTGCACTGGAAGATGAAACTGCCTTTGATATCACAGTAAGTTTGAGGGTGAAGAATAGTACTACTGTTTTTAAAGGATATGTTTTAAAGCTACATTCTTGCATTTTATTTTTTTTATAATTCCAGTATTGCAGCCATTCAAAATTCAGAGGTAAAAGAAAGTAAACAGAGATGAGATCGATTTAATTACTATAAAGATAAATATTAAGTTATTCTACATATAGTTAAATTCACCTTTCACAATATATTCAATTCCAAATTGAAAATGCTAGTTTAAACATTTGTATCAAGTGTATTTTGCTTTATTTCATTAAGAATTCCTCATGCCCTTGGAAAATCCACTGGAAATTACGATATATTTATTTTTAAAAGTTGCATGTGTAGTGATAATGTTTCCTGGGGCAGAGATAATTCTGCTTTGCCTAGAAGAACACGTCTCAAGCTGTCTGGTGCTTTGCAATCCTGATTCCAATTTATCTCAAGAGAAATCAAATTTTTTGGAGTGTTCTTATTTCAATTGTAGTCTTCTTGTGTGTATCAATGCAGTGCTTCCAGCCTTTGCTGCCAGAATATGCTTAGGAAGACAAAACAAGTAAAGCAACTCAGCCTTTGTAAAATTTATGATTGTAGTTGTTTTTTTCTCAGTCATGAAATAGCTTCCTCTATGATTCCCACTGCTAAGTTGTCAGTGCTTTTAAATTAAACTCTGCTGTGCCAAAAAAAAGTCTCTTCCTATCTGTCTTTCTTAGAAAAACACTTGTATGCTTCTGCTTTTGTTGTAAGAAGGCTAATTTAATGCAGGAGAGCAGGAAGAAGGATCAGGGTTTGGGGCTGGTGTGTGTGTTTTGTTTTGTTTTCTGCATGTTCATGTTTTGTGCTCATATGAGCTCTGGGAAAATGTCTGGGCTTTTCCTCATACGAAGTAATGAATTTGTGATAATATGAGAGCAGTCAGTAGAATTAGTGGATCTACTGTGTAAAATCTTTCTGTGGCCATACATTTGAATTATATTATCAGTCTTTTACAGATTTTAGTGTGACAGAAAGTAGATGATCCAGATAAAACAGATGTGTAGCATCGTCCCTTTCTGAAAAGGGACAGGGGAAGGGAGCATGCCGAGCTTACAGCAAATTTGGAAGTTAATGTGTGTTCAGTTTGATATTCATGTTTTTGTGGTAAGTTTTCTTTTCCATGAAGTGGTGATGAACTTTTTCTTAAATAGGTTTTAAACACAAGTGAAAAGACGAATGTAGACAACTTGTTTCAGAAAGATGCACTTGTTCGACAAAGCCAGGTAGGACTGAATTTTTATGGTGAAAATGGTAATAGATAAGTAAACACTTAAATGTTTATGACATTAATATTACGTCAGCTTTAGAAAATATGAGCTCTGTGTGCATTTAATTAAGCTATTTCAAGTAGTTATTTCTTTATGTTCATCTAGGCTTGTTATTTTCTGTATGTGCAGAAATATTACCCTTTGATTTCTAAAGATCAGAAATATTTCAGGCTAGGCTGGAGAGCATGGAAGGCTGAGAACTATTCTAATGTGGATCATCTGAAACTTGGTAATTAAGGAACTATTAAATAGCACAGTAGTAACTGCAGCATCTAGTGAGAAATATATCAAGTGCCAAAACAACCTTCAAACTAGGTACTTAGAGTGAGTTTGTCTTAGGATGTGTACACCTTGGATTACTGTGTAGATAACAAGTAGATTCAGAGATGAAAGACAGAATATTATTTATTGTGTGTTTGTTCTAAAAAAGCCTATTGAATTTCATTCCAGCTGGTGGTAGATTGGCTAGAGAGCATTGCCAAGGATGAAATTGGGAACTTCTCTGATAATATTGAGTTTTATGCAAAATCTGTATATTGGTGAGTTCAGACTTTGATTGTATCCATGCTTCCTGAAGTGTAATATTCACAAAACTAGACACAGATTCAGTCCTGAGCCACCTAAAAAGTTGGTCCATTCATTCATTTTTTCCTTAAATTCTTAGCTGTAAAAAGTGAGCTTCTCCCCAGTTCAGGTATGACTTCTCAAAAGTCAGGTACTAGCTTTGGGAGGAGAGGATGACAGGAAGGTTGTCAAAACAATTTAATTTAGTTTTACATAGATGACAGTTTAATTTTTCATAAAAAGACACTATAAGAGATGGTCAGCCTGGATAAAACTCTTCTCATGTGTTTCTCTTCTGTGCTCAGTTCTTTGTCTTGCTTGAACTTTGGCCTGTTGAAGTCCATGTCATTACTTTTGTCACTGATCCTTCACCAAAGTCATTATTGTCATCTTTATTATCAATGAAGGATTTTAAGGCAGGAGAGAGCAAAGCCCTCTTGATTCTAGTTCCTATTATAAGCGTTGTTTTAAAGACAGGTGAATACAGGCTTCTGGAATCATGTGTTCATCTAAGTTGTTTTTCTGTCTAAGACTGACAACGCTGAATGCTAGTGGGAAATTTTGTTCGTGCAGAACTCAATCAATAGTTCATATACATTGAAACTGGTTTTGAAAGAAGTCAGAGCCACGTGAATTGATTCTAGTTTTGTACTTCTAATGAAATTTGACATTTTCGCTACAATAACACTGTTCACTGATACAAAAACAAACCAAGTATGTCTTTCTTGTAACCCTATTCCACTAATCCAGAAATATTTTTTAATTTTCATGCATTATTAAAATGTTTGCTAGAAATCCTTTCTTTTTCTCAAAAACATTTCACTGCTCCCAGGGAGAATACGCTACATATCTTGAAGCAGCGACAGTTAAGTACATACATTGGAAGTTCTCGACCTCTGGTAACAGAGTTGGTAAGTGTTAATTAAATATAAGACTCAGAATGGGCATAAAAACCAGTCAGAATGCTTTACACAGAGCATATATGCTGTTTGCTAAAAATTGGTGGAACGGGGTGATTTTTGCTATCTGTAAATTGTTGCAGTATCTAAAAATTGCAAGACATTCTGTTGGAAAATCAGTTCAGAAATTATGAAGCAATGAGGAGCTAGCTGATGAGAGGATGTTAGTGAATGCTGAAGTTGAAGTTGCTGGATGATTAACGTAATGATTAAAATTATCAGATCTTAATGTATTTGTATTAAATAGAAGCAAGTACAACTACTATGAAAAGGCTGCTGAGAAGTTGGAGAAGGATAGACAGTCAGGTAGGTTGATAGGCAGAAGGGGAGAAGATTTTTGGAGGTGAGAAGAGCTGGAAAATGCGAGATTTGAGGCAAAGGCATAATGATAAAATAAATAAAGAGATTACAGTGTCTCCCTTTGATAGGAACAGTGACAGAAGAGGAATAAAGGAAATAAGAAAGACGAGGAAGTAGCACGCTAGATATTATGTGAGCTGTATAACATGTTGAGCCAATATGAAAATGTGACTCTAAATTGTAAAGCAGGACAGGAAATCATTGGAAGAGGCAGATGCGCATTATGTGAATGGATGGATGGTTCCTTTTTTTCCTTGCAGGATCCAGATGCTCCCATAAGGCAGAAACTGCCACTTGATGATTTGGATCGAGAAGATGATGCAAGATTACTGAAGTATCTCTTCACTCTTATCAGAGCAGGGATGACAGATGAGGTAAGCCACAGAAAGTTAAAGAATATTCTTGATTAACTAGTTTAACTTGTTTAAGATCTTACTATTAGAGCTAATGACAAGCTATGTAGTAAAATATCTATTTAATTTTGTCTTGTAGGGATTTAATTTTCAATAAACTGTCAGTACTGACAGTGATGCTAAATTAGTGGTGGGAAAATATTGCATTTAGTTAAGTAACTTCAGGTGTAGAATAGACATTATGGAAGAAGTTGCATGTTTATTTTGGTTATTTCATAATATAGCTTTTTTTTTTTACCTTAGTGATTTTGTACAAAATACTGCCAAACACATGAGATTTTTCAAATAACTTCCCAATTTCATGTCTAATAATTAGTAGATTATCATACAAACTAACTTTTAAATTAATCTTTTGGAATGCTTGCACTTGTAACTAAGGAGAGATTTTTTTATGTATGCTTTCTTTAGAAATAGCTTTTAATTAAGCAGCCTTTGCTTGCTCTGCTCCTCTAATGTCCCCTTGGCTGTGTGATTTGAATGGAGCTGAGGGAGAGTCATGGCTAGCATGTTACTTTTTGTTGGTTTATTTATTTATTTATTTATTTTAACTTTTATTGTGTGGCCAGGTGTCTTCACAAGGAAAAACTTCAAATAGACTTTATCTGAATATTCTAGACAGCATGCTATTCTTCTTCATTCACCCTTTTACTATAATTCTGCTTTTTGCCTGCTCTTACAGAATATACAATATGTATACTTTGCCTTAATCCTTATGTGAGTAGTTCTGGTCCTAAAGCTGCTCAGAATAAAGATTCCCAATTGTAAAGCAGCTTTTGTGATTTTTGTGTAAATAGTTGTACTGTGGTGTGGTCTGAAGGCCTCAGCTGGAAGCTCAGTCCCTTATACTAGGCTCTATATTTATGTAATGACATTTAGATAATGGAAAGGAGAAGGGACTTCAGATTCCTGTGTCCAAGACTGTAGATTAGGAAAATGGTTACTTGCTGGTGTTCTGTTCCCCTGTGCATTGTTTGATATTATGGGCACAAGTCCACATTGCTTCAGAGAGGTATGAATATAAATCCGCTATTTCAGTTCTTGCACTACAGTGTTCCTACTGTCTAGTAAGCATGGAGTCTCTTATTCACTATTGAAAGAGTTAAGTTAAAACCAAGAATCAGCCTTGGTTTATTTATCTTACGATAGATAGATAATATATATACTATGTGAGCTTGACCAGCTTTTCTCTTCTTTCTGTTTGTCACCATTCCTAAAATGGCTGACTGTCTGCAGCCTTTCCAGTATTCTCTTCCAGAAGAGAATGGAGCTGGACAAAACAAACCATGCCCACACATTGCAGTGTCTCCAGCTGTTTGTGGTTTTTTTGTCAGTGCTGGAGTGATACCAGTCAGACTTTAGCTAACTTTTTTTTTTTCCTCCAGGAGTGTAGGATTGGAAGAATTGTAAGCAAGCTTTGTATTAGGGTTATTTTTCCAAGTACAGTTTCTGTTTTACATTCCATGCTATTCAAAATAGCTTTGAATTAAAGCTCTTTGTACTAGTGAGTAGCTATTGATATCATGGGAAAGTTAGACTTGCTATTTTTAGCAGCACACAAGAGGTTTGGCAAGCTGTGTCAATTAGAAAAGTAGGTAAAGAGATAGTTAAGGAATCTAAGCAACAAGATGGTACTTTAAGCTTACATAAGTAATAACTTATAACTTGATATCAATACATAAGTATTGATAAAAACGAAAACATTTAATGAAAAACACACTTGATTACATTTTATTTACTTTGAAATCCTTCAGTTATTTTAAGATTCTTTTTTGCCTAGTACAATCTCAACACAAATTAATGATTTTAATAATGTTTACATTTTTCCCTTGAAGTTGACTGCAGAAAAAATCCATTATTTTTCAGGCACAACGCTTATGCAAACGATGTGGTCAGGCCTGGAGGGCTGCAACTTTGGAAGGATGGAAATTGTATCATGATCCCAACATAAGTGGAGGTATTTTCTTCCATCTGCATTTGAGAACTGTGAAAATAAGCAGAGGGCTTTCTCTTTAGCAAAGAGAAATAGCCCTTACTTTTAATATTAAGGGACTTTCTGGTGCCTAAAATATTTTTACCATGTCTGTTGATCACATTTAACCTGTATGAAATGGTTTTAGTTGAAGGTACGAGTTCACTGAATCCACTTGATATAGTAAAATCAGTTTTGGGGGTTCTTTTTAATACAAGCATAACAGCTAGGAAAACAAATGCCTTGGAATTCTGTGTAGATCTTCACCACCACCATTCATGTCTCAGTATGTGTTTTCTCAATATCAGAGAACCTTCTGCCATCTAGAATTATAGAATGGTTTGGGTTGAAAGGGTCCTTTCAGATCCTCTAGTTCCAACCCCATGCTGTAGGCAGGGACACCTCCCTCTAGACCAGGTTGCTCACAGCCACATCCAGCCTGGCCTTGAATGCTTCTAGAGGGGGACACTCACAGCCTCACTGGGCAACTTGTTCCAGTGTCTCACCACCCTCACAATAAGGAATTTCTGATATTTGATCTAAATCTACCCTCTCTTCAAGTTTAAAGTCATTAAGCCATCTTGCAAATACTTTATTGCTTATGGACTCAAAAACATTCTGTCTGTTTTTCAAAAGATATAATGGTACTGAAGAGTTCAGCAGAGGTAAATGGAGGAGAAATACACGGTTTTATAGTATTTGGACTCTGCTAGATTTAGCAAAGAATTTATGAACGTGTCTGAGTGCTATGCACACCTGAGACTGGAAGGCATACTGCTGTACTATTTTTCAAATCCTGATATCCCATTACTTTTATCTGTACAATTCACTGGTGTCTTGGCCTTGTTTTGGAGTGTTGCCTACCTACCTTTCCTGCTGTTATGGTGTTGTTTTTTTTCCTGTGATGCGCACTGTCATGCGGAGGCATGCAGCTTGGCAGCAGCTCTGAAGCAGTAGCATTTATTAGATGCTTATAGTCCTTAAAATAATAGTCCTTAAAATATAAAAATTCACTAAAAATTCTCTTGCCCTCTAACTGTGTTTTCTAAATACAAATAGTCTATTTATGTTGTGGTCAAAACCTTTTTTTTTTTTTTTTTTTTAAGGCTAAATTGCAACTAAATGCTTAAAGTACTGTCATTTTAAGACGTGCATTTACCAGACTTGGCAGAAGAGCTACCCTGCAGGCCAATCCATTGATAATCATTGATAAGCATTGGAAAGAGTTTCAAAGGGATTGAAATAGGGTTAATAACAGAAAATAGACTTTTATCTTACTGCTTTCTTTTTTAATACCTTTTTTTATTATTATTATCCTTTGCAAGGAGGAAATGAGGTACAGCCTGTTGAAGGGAATCCATACAGATGCATTTGGAAAATATGTTGTTGGCGTATGGCTGAAGAGGTAAGATGATGTTAATTTGCTTGGTATTCATGTTGAACTTCTTTGAACTCAGTAACATGATTTTTAGTAAGCCTACCTTTTTGGTTTATTGTTTGTGGGATTTGCAGTTCATGTTTATAAGAGGACTTCTGAAATAATATATTTTTCATGTAGTGAGAAATCTGCCCAATCAGCATCAATCTTTAAGACTTTGGAAATGTCATTTTTATTTGGTTGAGAGTGAAGCTGCTGATGCTGGCTTCCATCTGGACTCAGTTGAATGGGAAAGGAAAAAACATAGTTTTCCAACTTTTCTTTTTAAGTGCATGGAACACTTTGTAACAAATTAGTCTCTAATAAAATTTAACTGATCAGGAAGCATGGGTGCTTTTTAACTCACAGGTAATTTTTCAACTGTTTATTTTAGGAGCAATTTAACAGATATGAGAGAGCAATCTATGCAGCACTCAGTGGAAACCTCAAGCAGGTATGTCAGGCCTCCTAGTAGTTGGTGTTTGACAGTTGTGCATTTTGTTTTTATATGTGATAATAGCATCATAAAGACATACTTCTTAATATGCTTTCAAGAACTTAGTAATCATGACAGTAGCAAGCAGTGCTGCTGTAGCAGACATGCTCTCTGTAGGATTTTTGTGCCTTAATTAAATATACTTGATACACTCTTTTAGTATTATTCTTGCTGACTCTCAGTACAGCCAGTTCTACTTTTGTTGTTTTAGATTTGAAATTTTAGTATTATCTAAAAGATTGTTCAGCCTCTTTTCTGCTCATGCACCATATTCTGATTTGTCAGTGTTTTAAGTTGCAAGCATTAGTCAACCTGATGTATCTAGACATGACTCTGTAACTAAATTTCATTACTGATAGTTTTAAGTCATTCTCTCCTCTTATTGGTTTGAATCCTCCCAGTATTTTCTGTGCTCTCCTTCTCCTAAGTGGTGATGTTTTTTATACATGTATATAAACAAATCACTATTTAGGAGAAGGAGAGCACAAAATTGTGTGTGGGGCTGGGGGTACGTATAAAAGGGTGACAAGGAAGGTTATAGCCAATATAATGAAAGTTTAGCTGCTGCAAATCAGTGGTAGTCTCCTACTTGAGGAACTTGACACCTCCTTTCCCTCCCTGTCTTGGAAGGATGTGTTAGAAATAGAAATGATTCACAAAATAAGATTACTAGTGCATTTTTACAGTTATTTTATTCACTGAAGTTTGAAATGAGCTCTTTTACAGAAGGAGGCATTGTAAAGTTATACTGAAGTACAGAGCAGAAATGCTTACCTCCTTTTGACAGAGGAAAGAGATGTTTAATGAAACTCAGTATTTTCTGTAACTTCAGTAATTTTAAAATTGCTGTAAGAGAGAAATGTTTCCTGAAGTGCAGTGTTGTATCTGGAACTTGTCCCAGGGCTTCACTGCTGAAAGAGCCTAGTAAATTTCGGATAAGAACTGGATATAAAGTTTTAGCACATTACTCTATGTATAATAGCACTATCTGGGCTCTCTTGCTCAGTGATCTCCCAGATTTTTTTTTTCTTAAACTTCCTATTATCATTTTAGAGGTATAATGGGAATGCTTGTATGTAGTTTTCTCAATGTTTTCTTGCTATATGGATAAAGTAACACATTAAGTCTTGGAAGTTCAAACACTTCCAAGATGGCATTGCCACAGAGCCCTTCCTTTATTCCTTCACCACTCATTATTCCACTGTGACTTGTGCAGCCATGACCTAAAGCAGTGAGGGAAGGTGGCCCTGCTGGAAAATGTCACAGCAGAAGAGTGGATTGTTTTCATCTGAGTTGGCTTTCTGAACTGTTACAATAAAGAGGGAATGGTGTCACAGTGATGCCACCAGTTAAAGGAGGTAAAAGGGTTTTTTATTTTGGCTACTTTTGATTAAAAATAATCAAGGAACTAGATCGTTATTTTAGTGAAAGGATTTTTGGTTTTATCCTGCATTAGTGAAGGAAAGGTTGCTGTTTGTGATAGCTTCTAGTCTGCTTTGACAGCAAAAAACCTGATCCTAAATTACAGTTGATGTGTTTGGATTCTGATGGTTCTCCATCTCTAACAGTTTTTGCTCTGTTTTGTTCTGTTGTTTAAAATACACAGCTTCTTCCAGTCTGTGACACCTGGGAGGACACTGTTTGGGCATATTTCAGGGTCATGGTGGATACACTTGTGGAGCAGGAAATACGAACATCAGTAGTAACTGCAGAGGAGAAGGAAGAGCTCCCTAGAGAGTATTTAGAAACCAAGTAAGTTTTAGGTAGCAGTTATGTTCCTACCCTCAACAAAGGATCCTTTCACAATATTCAACACAATGTTTGTGGTGTTGTTTGCTTGTTTGTTCTAACCTTCTCTCTTTTACTTTAAAGCTGGACTTCAGAAAAAGTTTTTGAAGAACTTCAGGCAACAGACAAAACGGTATATATTGCTTACAGTTTCTCCTCACTGTTTGCTGTTTTTACTTACACAATGGTTTGTGCTTCTCCACTATTTCACGAAACAGTGACAGGTTTTCTGTCCCTGTAATGTATACTTAATTCAAATAGATTTTTCTGCCACCTTTTAATGATGAAGAAGGTACAGGTTTTGTCTTGTTTCTTATCTGCCAAACTAACTGAATGTGCTAAAGAAACAGTGGACCACAAATTGCTGTCAGACATGCAAAGCAGACAGTGTAAATCACATTTTTAACACTCTGATAAAATGTGTGAAGATTGGTTGCTTGTGGTTTTCTTTGTAGGAGGTTTGCATGTATATTTCAGAACAGGTCCTTCAAAACTGAAAAGCACATATTTTTTAGTATACTGTATTTGTCCTTAACACAGAGTATTTCATTTAAGCTGGAATAGATAACTTCTATGTTAATTTTTGTAAAGATTACATTGAAACTGTTTGGTGGGGTCAAATAAAGAGCTTACAGATGGAAGCAGCTAGCCAGATGCACTCAGCTGCCACGGCCTTTCTGGTGCCATTCCCACCAGCCAGGTTCATTGGTGCATTTGAATTGTGTTTCGTGCCTTTTCTCTACAGAAAAATGTCTTCAAGTACATTTCACAGGCCTTTTCTTTAAGGATTCTTAGAAAATGTTGCAGCTTTTATGACTTTGTAGAATCTGTTTGATACACTGTTATTCTGTTCAATGCAAAAAGCCCTTATTCTTGGATTTCTTTTGTGAAAGCATTAACTTCAGAGATCTAATTCTAGCTCTTTCAGTTTGTCAATATTCTTGTAATTTGGATGGATGTAGCAGGTGCATTTTCTTTTTTTTTTATGTAGAACACCCTTTGAAATAAGAGAGCTGCTTTTTTTCCTCTAAGAAACCTTTGCTTTATTTACAAATTTGCTTGTCTTTTTTTTTCTTTTTTAACATGTTGTGCCATGAGATTTATACACAGTTTGAACTTCCTGTTTTCCTCCCCAGAGAGTTATAGAGGAGAATCAAGAACACTATCGTGTGATTCAGAAATTCATTATACTGGGAGATGTGGATGGTGAGCTTTTCTCTAAGTGGCTTTTAAATGTCAACCAACTGCATTATTTCTGGTGATCTTTCCAGAAACTTCTCTGTGAATGGGTTTTAGAAATGCACAGTGGGCAAATTCCACCGAAAAGCAGAGCTGATTCTTTACTTGAGAACTACAGGGAATTTCTGCAGATTGACCTACAAAATAATTTTCGAGGCGGTCATGAAATCATGTAAATGATTCAGAATATATGTGAGAATATTGCTGCAACTTTGTCTAAGAAATAACAGAATACATACAGCAGATATTAAAGCCAAACAGATAAATGTTAGCCAAGCTGTTGCAATTCTGTTTTATTGTGCTTTTAAGGCTAAACTATATTAGTTGAATAGATGCGTAGTTTTGAAATATTTCTTAGGTGCTTTCCCTGGGGTATGACTGATACAGACATGTGATTGGTGGCTACAGGTCTGATGGAAGAATTCAACAGATGGCTTTCCAAAGACAGAAGTGTGCTGCCAGGGCACCTCCTTCGTTTCATGACACATCTTATTCTGTTTCTCCGCACTTTGGGCCTGCAGACTAAGGTAAGTGTTAAGTTCTTGTAGCAGTGTCCATTCTTTGAATTAGGATGAATGTATTTAAATACTCTAAATATGTCCTGTAATGGTAAATTACTATGAGGCTGATGATGACCTACGTGCCTGTAGTGTGTTTGTTGATATTGGATCCTAAAGGCAACATTAAAAAAGAGCATCTCCTCCTGTCCAGATCAGCTTCAAAAATGTTTGAGGAAGGTAGATTTTATTTAGAAGCCTGTGTGGGAATAAAAGGACCTAACTCAAAATTCAAGGTCAGATTTACATACAGCAGCTGAAATAACCTGACCTCAGGCACTGCCCTTGGAATTGTATTTATTGCTGGATGCGCATAAATGCATTTGCTTGAGGGAATTAGTTCCTTTTGGTCCTAGCCAAAACCATTATATTTTCTACAAATACATACCACATAAGCTGCTAGCTACCTAGCCACTTTGTGCTAAATATAAGGATGAGTCGCAGAGCTGCAATTACTCTTTTCTGAGGCAATCACAAGTAATTAAAGCCCCACTTTTCTATTACTATAAAATTTAGAAGCATACATATGAACTAAGTTCTTCTTTTGGTAAAAGAACTAATGTATATATTCTCTAGCTGATCTCAACACAGCTTTCAGTTATTGTGTTTGGTTTTTTTTAATATCTGCTCATTGCTTCATTCCAAATATATTTTGAAGTTAGTTTTGATGTTTTGAGTACAGTTCATAGAAATGCTTAGATCAAAATCCTTGATGTCATTTATGTGTGCTTTTAGTATTCTTGCTTGTAGAGAAAACTTAGAGAAATCTCCTCAGGTACTGTTTGCATCAAAGTGCTGAGACAAAAGTAAAGCAAGCTTGTTTTTATTGAATGTTGCAGTGCTTTGCATTACTCACAGATGATAATAAGAATTTGACAAAAGTCAGCTTTCATGGTTTTAGCATTTTCCAGCTTACAGACTGACTACGACTGAATGCAGTAGATTTATGAATTAGTAGCACTGGAGTCAGCAGCAGTAATATTTCTATTGATTAAACATAAAGCAAGGTGCCAGTCCACCTTATTTTGTGATTTAGATTTGCTTTATTGTAGCACCTGATGATCCAATGGCTTTAGATTTTTTAGTTGTTAGCTGCAACAAGAGAAACTCATCTAGTGGGCTGAACAGGAATTCTAAATACACTTCAGTGGATGTTTCTTTAAATTTTGAAAACCTTTGGTGAGGGATATAGCACTAATTTGTTACTGCTTAAACATAAATCTGCATAGACACAAGATAACCGTATCAAACTAAAATGATAGCTCAGAAATCAACACTTGGTTCTTAGCTAACGCTGTTTGAGTTGTTCAGGCTGTCCTTGGTATTTCCTGGTGTTCAGGGGTTGGTTGTTGTTTTTTGGTGTTGTTTTTTTTGCTGCATTATCTCATTTAAAATTGAATTTATATTTGTTTGCAATAAGGAGGAAGTTTCTGTTGAAGTCCTAAAGACCTACATTCAGGTAAGCCTTCAGAATTCTATTTTGTTTTCTTTGACAGTTTAGACATAAAGGAGGAAAAAGTGAGAATAAAGGTTACATGGTGGAAAGAGTTAGTGCTCTCCTAATAGATGGATGGAGGTTTGCTTGAGCTTACAGCATTTCTGTCAGAGATGCTTAAGTAGGAGATTATTGACCTTTGTTTAGAAACTGAGAAACGAGTGGAGTCTTCTGTACAAAGGGGAAAAAAAAGCACAAAATTAGGAATCTGGCTTAACATTATTTAATATTCATAACTTAGATGTGCACATAGAGGTTTGGGTTTTTTTTAATATTTACTTTCTATTCTTCAGCGGATGATATCAGAGAAGCACACAGATTTAATAGCTTTTTATGTTAGCCACCTGCCCCCAGAGCTGGCTGTTGCCCAGTATGCTCTGTTTCTAGAAGATGTTACTGAAAGCGATCAACGCCACCACTGTCTTGAATTAGCAAAAGAAGCAGGTGAGATGTGCTCTATATTATGTTTTCTTTCTGCAACCTGGAATAGCAATTCTATTTCTAGAATAAGCTAAGTATCACTTTTGCTTGTAGATCATGTCCAAACATAACAGAAATTAAATGCTAACTGCCTGTCTTAAATATATGCTCTGAAGTTTGACAAACATATCTGCATGCAGGTCCCCAGCACAGACTGTTTGGTGTTTTCTGTTATCTCAGATATCATTTCTCTAAAATACAAGCAATAAATTATGTATCTCAAAAGCCTATAATTTAATATGGCAGTGAGAGTGTGATCATCCCAACAACAGTTACTGATAATGTAAGAAATAAGGTCAATAGCCCCACTCTGAAATTCATTCAGCGATAAGTTTGAATTTCTGATCCCCACTGCGTAATTCTCTTTTCACCTAGGCCTGGATGTTGCAGCCATAACAAAAACTGTCGTTGAGAACATCCGCAAGAAAGATGCTGGGGATTTCAGTCACCATGATCATATGTTGGACACAGGCACAACAGAGGTGAGTATGCTTTGTTAGGGGCTATTCCAATCTGCAGTCAAGCACAGAGTCCTTCACCACATCCGTTCCATATTTCTCTTTCAACACTGCTGGAAATTGCCTTGAGAGAGTCTGTGAGAGAAACATGCTTTTCATGTAGCCAAGCAAGGAGATGAATTGCATGAATTCTTAACTTCTCTTTCTAAATCTCTTTGATCTTCTGGGCTTGAGTTGTCTGTCACTAGTAGAGTGTCACTGTGAGAGCAGTAAGTGGAGGGTGAAGCCTGTGAAATATCTATGACAAAATACATTGTAGCTGAGAGTAGAGTATTATTGAACCTTCTAAGAATTATGAGGATTAATACTTTGGATGTCAGATGTACTTCAATTCCCTGTTCAAATGATATATTCTAGCTACTACAGACATAGTCTGTACTGACAGGTTCCTTGTCATCACCACTGAATGTCAGCTGGATCCCATTCAATACTTCAGTGACAATGAGGTACTATTAATAGCTAGCCTTCTATTTCCAGAGTAGTGTTTGGAAAGCCCTGATACTTTGTAAACATAGAGCAAATTTTTTGCTGTTTCATAAAAAATTTCAACTCTTGCCCTCTGAGCTAATGAAGTAGTTTACCTAGTGCAACAGTTGGAAAACTGGTCCCAGGCTGAGTGTAACCCTAAAGTTTATAGGAAGGGTTCAGTAAACCGTGTTTATAGAGTGCGTTCGTGTTAAGGTTTCTATGCTTGGTAATTCATAGAAGTTCCTGAGATCTGATGCTTACCCATTGGTCTGAAAATTTCGGAGGTATTTAGAAATGGATTTTTTTTGATGAATTTAGACCATAGAGATTGTTTCCTAAGGTTTTGATACAAAAGGTGTGAATAAAATGATTCTTCTTAGTACGTTGTAAGACTGTCCAAAGATCTCTGGAAGCCTGAGTATTTCTTTGAGTAGATTTATTATATTTGATGCTACCTGTGTTGTTTTAAATGTTAGTGACTAATAAATACATTGTTTTTTACAGGCAGATCGGCTGAAAATAGATGTAATTGACTGGCTTGTATTTGATCCTGCACAGAGGGCTGAAGCACTCAAGCAAAGCAATGCTATCATGAGGAAGTTCTTGGGTACTCAACTTCACAAATACTGTAGACTTTTAAAGTGTTGGTTTTGTTCTTGTTGACTCTTGGCAATATATTTGATCTGACTGCATCTTGTCTGTTAAAAGGCATGGGTGTAACAGAGTATAGCACTGTACAGTGCATCTTTTTTCCTTATAGTGACTTCATTGTGATACAGTTTGTCAGTTTATGCAGGTAAAGTATGGGAATTGCACAGCTGTTGATACTCAGTTCACATTCTTACAGCATCCAAGAAGCATGAAGCTGCAAAAGATGTGTTTGTGAAGATTCCTCAAGACTCTATAGCAGAAATATATAACCAATGGGAAGAACAGGGAATAGAAGCCTCTCTTCCAGCTGAAGACGACAACGCTATAAGAGAACATTTATGTATACGGGCATATTTGGTGAGTTTTAAATAAACTGTGTTCAGAGTTATTAATAAATACTAACGGGTAATAATATAAATAATGGTGGCTTTGCTTTGCTGGTGACATTTTAAGCTTTACCCATTTGATCAAACTTCTGCTTCCTGGATACACTGTACTTGAAAGTTTACAGAATAGTGAGAGCTCCTTTCTGTACTCAAAATTAACAGATGTCCAAACACTGTTTCCAATGCAATGCAGGAAGCCCATGAAATCTTCAATAAATGGTTTCAACACATGAACTCAGCTCCACAGAAGCCGCCTTTGTTGCCACAAGCAAGTTTCACTGAAAAAGTGGCCCATGAACATAAAGAAAAAAAATATGAGGTAGGTCAAAGTTATTTACTGTCAACATTTATGTTCTTGCTGAAGAGACAGTCTTAGTTTAATGAAGCAGAAGTCTGCTTGTTCCTTTTGCTTAAGAACTCTATTTATAAAATACTGTTTATATGCCAAAAAGAGGGGGTAGAAAACAGTACAATAGTAGAGCACTGCACAAGAAATTCTCATACTTTTTTCCTGTGTGACTCAGATTTATTTGCAATACTGCATTATGTAATGGTTAAGTATTTGCTACAATCTATTGTTTATCAAAGTTATAAATAAATCTGAGTATTTGATTTTTCTATTAACTCTTCAATGGCTGAAGGTTCTAATCTAAATAACAGCAGTGCTGGCTGTTATGCACGAAGTGAAGATTCTGCTACAATAGCCTTGGAATCACTCTGTCCAGCAGAAGATAATTTCCTGTTTCTTTGCTAGGTGGACTACGGTATCTGGAAAAGTTTCTTGGATGGTCTTACAAGTGATGTCAAGGAGAAAATGTACAACGTGTTGCTGTTTGTTGATGGAGGATGGATGGTTGATGTTAGAGAGGTAAAATAATTTTTAATATCATGCCATGGGCCACAAAGTACTGGATTGTACCCTGCTGTACCGTTGTCATCTTTAGTTCGATGTCCTTCTCTTTACTTATTAATAATTCTCTCTGGCCTTGCTGTCACCAGTTATAGGTCACTTCCCCTTCAGGTATGATATAAACCAGATCTGGCAGTCCAGTTTAGGCTTAGCCCTGTTGTTTTTTTTTTGTCTCTGACACTACAAATACCTTGATTATGTTGCCTTTTAAAGATAGGTGTTTGTAATACTAACGTATATTGTGCTTTGGTGAGGATGCTGAGGAGGACCCCGAACGAACACATCAGATGATTCTGCTGCGAAAGCTTTGTCTGCCAATGATGTGCTTCTTACTGCACACGGTGCTGCACAGTACTGGGCAGTACCAGGAATGCCTGCGGCTGGCTGACATGGTGGCATCCGAGCGACACAAGCTCTATACGGTGAGTTACTGAGAGCTGCAGGCAGCTTGGCTTCCAATTAAAAGCTCCGTGGGTTGGCTGTGAAAGAAGCTTCCGTACAGAGAGGAAGACACCATATGGTACTGAACATCCTAAGTTTCTTCATCTCTTCCCATTCACTGCAGTAGTAAAGAGTTTCTTTTTATGCTGAATCTAAGTGTTAACTTTGAAACACCGAAGATGATGGCAGAATAGTTCTTCTGAGTACCAATTTTTCGATAACAGCAATTGAACTGAAAGAAGTTGAACTATAAAATTGTATTGCATTGTAATTGATCTTTTTTCTCCATTATACTTCAGAGCATTTTATAAGCAGGTTTCACTTGGGAGTACTCGGTTTACCCAACCTTCTCCTTCCAAGACCCCCAAATACAGTCCCCCAAAATACATACCTCACAAAAATCACACACCCCAAAAGGCATCCGTGTTGGATGGAGGTAGAGGGTTAGAAACCAGATAGGAAACATCGAGACTAGGAAAGACGCTGTGATGCATTTGCATGGATTGCCTTTATAATATCTCTGCCAGCAATAACAGGAAAATTAAACTTGTCAGTTCCCCAGTACTTTGTGTAGTAGCTGAGACAGAGTTATCTGGACACTCCTTGTGGGATTTGAGCACTGCCACTGCTCCTAGTCCCATACCAAACGTCTTTCTGAAACGTGGATCTGTTGTGGGCACTCGTCTAGATGAAAAATCAGTGAAGACATTGAGTAGCTCAGCTCAGCAAACCACCATTCACTTTGATACCAGTGCAATTCCTTGCAAATAAATATAACTCAATTATGTACTTTTTTTATTCTTAGGTATTTTCAAAAGAAGAACTCCGAAAATTCTTACAGAAGCTGAGGGAATCTTCTTTGATGCTTCTGGACCAGGATCTCGATCCCTTGGGATATGAAATTCAGTCTTAGAATTTCCTTTAGATATCTGCAAAAACTTGAATGTGAAGTCTGGACACTTTAATCAAATTTAGTTTGTTGTGTAATCCGTTCTGATCTTTGTTCCAAGAAACACAGTTACACAGATTTCACTTTCAAAGTGCTGACCAACATGAGAGGATATTTGTTACACAATTTGTCTCTTTTGTAACTTTTTTTCTAATAAATGTGCTCTACCAACAGAAAATGTTTGTTCATTCACATCTAAACTGCCAATACACGTAGAAAGGTGTTGTGTGGACTTCCTTCCTGTACGTGCTGAGGCGCTGCCTGTCGATGGGAAGCGTTATTCAGCAGTACAAGAAAGTGCAGGAGTGCAGTGAAAAAGGAAAGTGAGGCAGCGTGTGGAAAGCAGGGGAGGGGAACATCCAACAAAGAGCGAAGTCAGGGCTCCCAGCAGCCCTACAGAGGAGACAGCGCTGCTGAAGGGCTCAGTTCAGTCGCTCAAAGGTTGAGGTAATCCTGACCTGGGGAAAAAGCGTTCGTGTCCGGAAGCGAGTGCGAGGTTCTGCGTTTCGTTTAGAAATCTCCTCGCACGTTTACATGCGTAAATGCGCCTAGCTTTTCCCCCAAAGGGAGAGGACAGAGGGCGCAGCTCTAACGCAGAGGGCGTGACAGCGGCAGCAGCTCCGCTAATTCAGCGCTCGCCGCCGCCTGACGAAGGCCCACGCCCGTCATCCGTCCCCGCCGACGACCGCACCGCCTGCTCGGGGCGGCGCGCCCGCGATCGGAGCCCGCTGCCGGGAGGAGCCCAGCCGCCCTTCGTCCCGCGGCCCGGACGGGCGGAGCCGCGCTGCCAGCCCTGCCCTCGGCCGCTCGGCCCCGCCGCTCCCGCCGGAAGGCGCGTGGCCACGTGTCGCGGGGCGGGGCTGCCGGCGGTCCGGCCGCTGCGCGCCGCAGCCGCTCGGGGCCGTGAGGGGCTGCCGCCCCGCGGGGCGCGGCGTCCCGTGCCGTGCGGTCGCGGCGCGGTGCCGGCGGCATGGGCTGGGTGCCGGCGCAGGGGCGGCTGGCGGCGGGGCTGCTGGTGAACCTGGCCGCCTCCATCTGCATCGTCTTCCTGAACAAGTGGCTGTACGTGCGGCTGGGCTTCCCCAACCTCAGCCTGACGCTGGTGCACTTCGCCATCACCTGGCTCGGCCTCTACCTCTGCCAGGCGCTCGGCGCCTTCGCCCCCAAGAGCCTGCGGGCCGCCCAGGTGCTGCCGCTGGCGCTCAGCTTCTGCGGCTTCGTCGTCTTCACCAACCTCTCGCTGCAGAGCAACACCATCGGCACCTACCAGCTGGCCAAGGCCATGACCACGCCGGTCATCGTGCTCATCCAGAGCCTGGCCTACGGCAAGAGCTTCCCGCTCCGCATCAAGCTCACCCTGGTGAGGGCGGGGGGGGAGGGGGACGCGCGGGGCCGCGGCCGCGCCGAGCCAGCGCCTCTCCGTCCCACAACGCCTTCCGTCCCGCAGGTGCCCATCACGCTCGGCGTCTTCCTCAACTCCTACTACGACGTGAAGTTCAGCGCCCTCGGCACGGTGTTCGCCACGCTGGGCGTCCTGGTCACCTCTCTCTACCAAGTGGTCGGTATCGGCGGGGCCGGGGGCCGCGGGCGGGCTGCGCTGCGGGAGCGGCCGCGCCCCTCGGAGCGGAGCGGGGCGGGCGGGCGGTGCCGCGCGGGGCGGCGGTGTCGCTCGGCTCCCGCTGCCGGCGGTGGCATCGCTCTGCCGGCCTTCCTGCGGAGCGTCCTGCCGCTCCGTCGGCATCCTTCCGTGGTTCCCGCAGAGGCTGCGCTGGGGCTGCGGAGATAGAGAAGGGTCGGGAGGACGAGGCTGAGGGCCCTGTGTGCGCTCAGCGCGGAGCAGAGAGCTGAGGGGAGGCCTGATGGCGGCTGCAGCTCCTCACAGGGAGCGGAGGGGCAGCGCTGAGCTCTGCTCTGTGTGACAGCGACAGGGCCCGAGGGAACGGCATGGAGCTGTGTCAGGGGAGGGCAGCTGGGTTGGGGTTCTTCACCGTAAGGCAGTGGGCACGGCCCCGAGTACTGGAGTTTTGATTTTGGGTGTTCCCATGAGGAGCTGGACAGCTTACAGGACCCTTCAGATTCGGGATATTCTGTGATAATGCCGAGTGTAACCTTCTACTCAGTTGCTGTGGAAGAACACAGAGTGGCTCAGCCCTTTCTGCTGCTGTCTTTCAACATATCGTCTGCCACAGCTCTAAAAGCAGCCCCTGTCCTGCTAATGTTGAGACGTTGTCTCAACTTGAGCCCCTTTGATTGCAGTAGGCACAGAGTGCTCTGGAATGCAAGATGACAAATAGTGGTGGTTTGTCCTTCTTGGGGGAGAGAGAGATGCTGCAGAGTGGCTTCAGGTGGCTGTGTGCTGGGGAAGTGATGGTAGCATATTGGAATTCCTGTTGCCAACGAATGAGATGTGAAAGGAGGAAGGGTCACCACATTTGGTAGTCAAATATTTTAATATAGCTTTGGAAATATTTCTGGCATTAAACAGACCATTTTTGTCTGTGGAAGTAAATGTATTTCTTTGGAAATGAGCATAAGTTGTGCTGCATTCAAAGAGGCAGCAGTTTAGAAGGCAATATACATGCAAGCATGTTTATATATCCAGAGTGTAGCGTAGGAGGCAGCCCTTGCAGTACTGCAACTCTGCTCTGACCAAGGTGCCTCTTTCATAGGCAGTATCTTGAATTTGCCATGTGTAAAAGGGAGCTGGTGTTTTCTTCCCAGCTCTGCTCCTTTTTCATTATCCTCAAGTGTAACTCTTACTGTCAGGAGGGAAAGGAAGGTTGAGGTGCCAGGCATTTGGCTGAGAGGGGTCTCAGTGTGTTCCCTTTCATAGAATCACAGAATCATTCAAGTTGGTAAGGACCCTTAAAGGTTATCTAGTCCAATTCCCCTGTAATGAACAGGGACAACTACAACTAGACTAGGTTGCTCAGAGCCCCATCCAGCTTGAGCTTGTCTGAGTGTCTTCAGGGCTAGGTAGACTCAGAAGACATTTTCTTCTTGCGTGGCTGTGCTCCATGTGTTTGTAGTCACAAAAGACAAATATCTGGTTTGGCAAAGGTGGGTGGTAGCACTCACCGGTCTGTTTATCTGGTGTTGTCTGTGTGAGATGAGACACCCTCTGTGCTAGCAGGTGGTTTGCTTCTGCTCAAATCATGGGTTGTTTTCCTGATGTTTAACAGCTTTCTCTTTTGGTCTTAGTGGGTTGGAGCAAAGCAGCATGAATTGCAGGTAAACTCCATGCAGTTGCTGTACTATCAGGCACCAATGTCCTCGGCCATGCTGCTGTTCATCATTCCCTTCTTTGAACCAGTCTTTGGAGAAGGGGGCATATTTGGGCCCTGGACGCTTTCTGCTGTGGTAAGGCTTTCATCCACTTTTGTCTGTACTGACACGAAATTGTTTTATTTTTGTTCTTGATATGTTTTTCTTGCCTGATATGTTGTATCTGAAAGTAAAGGAACATGGAATGTATCTACAGGTGGTCAGAAATATGTGAGGTTGCTGACTGTGTGCATTAATCCACAGATAATGGTACTGCTGTCTGGTGTGATAGCCTTTATGGTAAACTTGTCCATTTACTGGATCATTGGGAATACATCGCCTGTCACGTATCCTTTGTAACTAACAGTAGTTGCCTTTCCTGTTTCCATATCAATTATGCTAGCATTCATTTGGATTGATTTACTGTGGGAAAACTGGTTTGTGACCTGCCTGCTTTCTCTTATATGATGAAGCTGGGAAAGCACATTCTTTTTTTTAGCTTATTTCATAGAATTGTAGGATTGTTACGGTCAGAAAAGACCTCAAGATCATCAAGTCCAACCATCAACCCATCACTACCGTTCCCACTAAACCATGGCCTGAAGTGCCACCTCTAAATGTCTCTTTAACACCTCCAGGGGTGGTGATCCTACATGAGTTGAATGTGATACACCTTTGTGTGCCTTGGGCACAAGTAACTGAATTCCTAAATGTTCTCTGTTAACTGCAAATGCCAGTGTGATTTTGTGTAATCCTTAACAGGTGCTTAGATACAACATGTTCGGACACTTCAAGTTCTGCATCACCCTGCTGGGAGGGTGCCTCTTGTTTAAGGACCCCCTGTCAGTTAACCAAGGCCTTGGCATTCTGTGCACGTTGTTTGGCATCTTAGCCTACACGCACTTCAAGCTTAGCGAGCAGGAAAGCAGTAAGAGTAAATTGGTTCAGCGTCCATAAAGCAGGGCTTTCTGGGGCTTAGTAATGTTATGTTGTGAGGGACAACGACTATTTAAATCTGCATTGATTCTAGAATGCACAGAATCGCCTCATTCATTTAGAACGGTGGCTTTAATTTAACTGCCAGGATGGTTATTCTGTAACTAAAGCAAACAAACTGAATGATGTGAAATGTCAGGGTTCTCCTATCTCGCTCTGTCCGATCATTTTCATTACATTTAAGTGGTAACTTAACAAAGAACTTGGCACGCTTCAAATTGCTGTGGAAATGTTACTGCAGTCATTATATTTTTTGCATACCAAATGAGATGGTGGTGGCTGCTGTTATGAGACAGAGAAGTAATGTCACATTTGCAATCATGCCTGTACTGTGATCTGAAGAAACTTGGAGGCACTGTAATGCAGATGTTCTGGTTCCTAGCGATGCTTCCTCCCTTTTGTCTGGTAGGTGACAGAGGGGAAATCTCCCATGTTTTGTTGTTGTAATGAGGGCTCTGAGCTCATTCCTATTTCTTGTATGCTTGACTTGAATGCGTTGACAAATGAGGGGAGACACTGGAAAACTTGAAGCCCCAGGCCAAGCTGTAGATAAACATGAAAAGAGATCTAAACAGCTATCTTTGGTTTTTCTTCTAACCTGTCAGGGCATCGACTCATTCATTAGTGTTTTTAGAAAACCTGCTACCGCTTCATGACTTTCTCTTTGCCAAAACAAGGCTTGACGTGAGATGGCGAGCCTGCTAAAATCTCTGATTTCGTGCTGGTCGCCAAATGCTTTGCAGCACATGCAGGTGGGCAGCCGTGCTCAGAATAGCCGTGGAGGAACATCGCGAAGGGTCGCTGAGCGCGGCGAGATGCGGGCCCTGAAGCGCACTGATGCGGCTGGAGGGTGTGATTTGGGATTGGTGGCTCTGTGCTAATTCAGGAACGCTTTGCAAATGACTTTGTGCCAGTACCAAGCGCTGATATGACAGCATGGGAAGAAGAAGTTGAGTACTGTTCTATTTTAAATACGACGTAAAAAATAAATGCGCTCAGTAAATCTGGTGAAAGCATATGTTCTCTAGATTTGCAAGGTTAGAATTGATTTGCAGTATCTTCTTACATTTTGGGGTTTGTTTCATCTTCATCTACCTCTAGCAGATTTAAAGAGGGGAATTACATGAACACAAACAGGTATGAAAGTTTACAACCCTGGACAGAAATATGTAGTTCCTAGGAGCTAAGTCTTTGTGTAAGAAACAACGTACATCTTCTGAAGCATAAAAATTACTTACTCTGTTACACAGTTCTCCATTTTAGAAATAAATATTATTCTGTGTAACCTGCATTTGCACTGCAACACATAACATTTCAGAGTTAGAAATACCTGAATAACTTTACATCTCTATCGTTTCTTAGACATTGTTCTGGTCCAAGGATAAATTTTTGTATACCTTTTTGTAATTCTATAATTAGTTTAAAAATGGAGCCTAGACTGCTGAGAGATGTGTTCAGACAGGACAGTCTCTGGATGCACATCTTTCAGTAAGGGCTCTGAGAAAACCATTTGCATTAATTTGTGCTGTGCACAAGTTCTTCTAAAATGTAGACAGGCCATAAAGATTCCAATGGTTTGGGAACGGCGACTGAATTAGAAGTCTGTATGACAGCAGCGTGTGAGATGGGACTGATGTACACACAAAGTGGTAAAATGAACAGAACAAAGACAAAAGACTCTGTAGGGAGAGGAGCAGATCCACAGGAGAAAGCAAGTGGTATCGTGTAAAACGGAACTTTACAAATACTGACTGATTCTGGGACATATCAGTCATGTCAGTCACCTGCGTGACGTGATTGTTTCTGTATGTTCAGGAACTCTCCCTTGAGATGTACCTATTGTCCCTAGCTAATAAAGTATCTTGAACTACTTTTGCCATATGATTCAAAATGTTAACTGTGGGAAGCTTGTGTAATTGCTGGGTAAGTGATCTCTTTATATGTATTGTTTCTTTGGATGCCATGTGTAAGGTGGAAATAAATTTTTAACGCTTGACCAATCCCTGCATATTGAGGAGGAGAACTGTCCTCATCTTTCTCATCTCCTGTTTGTGCTTTCAGAGTATAGGTGTGTGTAAAACAAAATAGTATCGCTTGGGTTTCTGTCTGAATAACTTAAGGGGAATTTGCATGTTTTGGGACTGAGCTCATGGCACATGAGAAAGGCTGCGTGCTTCCCCTCCCTGTGCAAGATCATGGACCACACACATATGTATGCACGTGCTTGCACACATTCAGGCTGCCTGTGTGCTTCTATTCACTCCCTTCTCAATATCCGCCCCAAAATCCTTTCTGAATGCCCCAGTCCCTGCATGTCTCTCTTCCTTTCTGTCCTGCACCAAGATCCCTAGTGCAGAGCTTCTCTCTGCAGAGGTACTGTGTGTTTTTTCCTGACTGCTCAGGCTTCATCCTCGTCCCACTGCAGAGATGGCCCTATGCTCTCTGGATGGTGCTGGTGAAGAATGGTGCAGAAAAATCACTGGTACTTATCTAGGGGGAGAGATGCTTGCTCTGGTTTTTACTGCTTTGTTTTCCTGCTCGTTATACATATTTAATTCAGTATTGGCTTTCATCAAAGAGAAACCAGAGTTTGGCATCATTGACAATCTGTAGTGTCACCCTATGCGTGCCTTCACATTTGAAGCCATACTGTACAAATCATGGTATTTACTTTCTAGGGGAAAAACTAGCTTAGATATGAGGGTGACATTTAAAAATGAGAGCAGATGCAGATGATCCCAATTAGTTTACCCCACCAGTGAGTCGTGTTTTATCTTTGCTCAATAATGCTGTCCCCGCAAATACTGCAAATGCAGATGCCAAGTTTTCTCATTTTCCCCAAAGCAATAGGAAATGTGCCTTCACCAATGGACAGATTCTCAGTACAAAGCTTGGTGTTAGCACTAGCTTTGATAACTCAGCACTTTTCTTACAGATTTTGCATCTGGTTTTGTGTGTGTTCCTGCAGGCTCTGGGAGGCACTGTGCCAGAGGAGTTTTCCTGTTGCTGGGTGAGCAGCTTCTCTTTCAGGCATGAGGTTGAAGGAGGGTGGTGTGCTGCTGCTAAACCTATCAAAGAGTCGTTTGTTCTCCAGGAAATCCACCTTCAGACAGAGCTTCAATTCAGCAGGAATGCATCCTCTCTCTGTCTCATTCCATGAAATGAATGCCCAGCGACAGCTAAACCAGCCTGAAAGCTTTGTTTGGGCTGCCCATATTAGTAAACTTTATCTGAAAGTAGTAGGCCTATGTAACAGGAGATTCAGAAGACTGTTATAGCATTTTGGAGTACAGGTAATATCTAACCAATGTCTAGTTTGCATTATCTGCAAATTCTATCAGAAGGAAATGTTGGCTCTGTTAATAGGCTGTTTGCATTTACAGGGTTGAGCTGCTGAGAAGAGCTGCACCTGAGCAGTACCGTGCTTCCAAAGACTGGCATGCTGTCCTTAAATTTAGCAGTGATTTATAAACATCCTGCAATTCAGCAGCATACTCAAGAAGGGAAAAAGCAGGCTCGCTCTGATAGGTGAGAGAGCTTTGTATCTTCTTGGGATTTGACAACAAACGTGGGACTTGCAGTTCAAAGGAATTCAGAGAACAAGCCTGACTGTCCCTCAATTTACCTTTTTTTTTTAAGATTTTTCTCCCAGGATGTCTGTTCTGCTCCCCATTGTGCAGTCGGTTATTTCATCTGGATTTTAAAAGAAGTGTATTTTGGTTTACAGACCTGGGGCGTTAGCTTAGGTTGGTTTGAGGGTTTTTTTTGCCTCTCAATGTTTTTTTTTTTTTTTGTAGCCATTCATAACCCGACTTCCTTGTTTAATTAAAAACAAAAGAGGAAGGGGGAGTAAAGTAAAGTTAGAGTGGATAAGTAGTGAAGATACCCTTTGTTTTGCAAAACCTCACTCTAGCTGGGACAGTGCAGTTCTGTTAGCCCCTACAGTATTGTCATGTAGATACAAAGAAGCACCGCATTTCTATTGCATATAGGTTCTCCTCCTGCTGGTACTCTGATAGCAATCTCAGCCTTCCATTTGACGGCTCAGTTGCTAAAAGGATAGAGAAGGTAAAGAACATGAAGTAAAAAACCATCAACAGGAGCCAGTACAATCTTGGGTAATGAGAAATCCTACTGTAATACATAGAGCCATTACACCAGACAGATCCATGCTAAGCATAAGGGAGAGCTGTTGGTTTACCTCCCAACAGGTATTGCAAAAATTGAGTTGAATGAATTCTTGCTATGCTGTAGTAGTTGACATACTGAGCTTAAACTAACTGTTAATAATAATTGAACACATGAATGCAGTGCAAAAAGAAATAAATAGCTGGATTCAGTCAGTATCAAATCTTTGCCAGACTCCTCCTGCAGCCGTGGTTAATGTTCCTGAGAAGGGAGCTATTGTTCCACCTCCTGCTCGCTCGGTGGTGCTGTGAGTACAAAAGACGGTTTGTGTGCCTGAGAGCTGCCCTCTGTGTTTTCAGCCACATTTGCTGGTCCAGCGAAAACATCTTGTTTCCCTATTAGCTTGTCTGACCATGCTTGACCAACCTGGTAGCCTTCTACGATGGTGGATGGGGGGAGAGCAGTGGATGCAGTCTACCTTGATTTCAGCAAGGCATTTGATACTGTCTCCCA